AATGATGTGTTACTGGAGACTGTTGAGGTTAGAAATACTACCTTTTCAGTAAATGTTTATCCTGGCTCAAAGGCCCATCTTGTGCTGAAGCTGGAGAACGATGTTGAGAAGTATTGTAAGGTATAAATATATTATAAATATATTACAAACTATTACAATAATTGTATCATACAATACAGGTATATATAGAAGTAAATTGGTATATTTAAGTATAGGTTTTTTTTTTACAAGAAATGCTGTTGTCAATGCTATTGTCAAAACTGCAAAACAACATACTGTATAGATTTAAAGTTTGTTTGTTCACAGCAACCAGGTAGTCATGTTATTGCTCACTACTCTAGTTTATAGAAATGATTACAAAACCTAGACGAATTGCAATCATGACCCAACGTTCATGCCTGTAGAAAGTAGGAAGTCCATGGAGCGGCACTACACTGTACCTTAAAATTCTGAAAGGCAAACTCCAAATCCAAAATATACAGTCAAGTAATTCAAAATTTAGTTGAAATATCACTATTCGATCAGTTTCAAGGCATGAGAATGTGGCAAAACCTAGCTCCATTTGAAAATTTGCTACCTCCACAAAAATGAAATCTACAGGTTTGTGGGAGTGTCGAAACGTAGGGTCTTGATTACAATTCGTCTGTGCTTTGTAATCATTTTTATAAACCAGAGTATTGAGCAATAACATGAACATACTGTATATATGTATTCCTACTGTATTCATTACCTTAATAGATTTGTCTATAACTTTGTATATTTTAATAGAATACTGAGAAACATAGAAAATCTATTTTTATGCAGGATCAAATGTAGTTTGCCAATAAGCCATGTATTTTTAAAAAAGCACCTATATTAGTGCCATTAATAGAATATTGCATCAGTTCATTACCTACAAAGTAAATCATTTGCATAAATATTGCTCAACTTCCTGTTTAATGGCATGCTTTTTCCCAATCAGTCACTAAAATGAAAATTCTTAAAGATGAGGTAAAGTCCGTTCTGCGCATATATTCCGCGCATCAACACATTCCATCAGTGGGGGAGCAACTTTTGGAATGTTAATGATATGCGATATTAGCGCGTTGTATTACAAACGGCAGTTCGGGAGCACAATTATTTTATTTTATGTCGCAAGGCGAAGAGGCTCGAATTGCGAGTCACGACGATAACTTATCTTATCATAAGGCTGCTAGAAAAAAGCAATATTATGCTGAAAGGAATGCTCCAAGAATTTATTTGTTGAATGAGGCCCGAAATGGCGAGGCTATTTGTTGTCGCTACAGACGCTACCTTCTCGCTTGTCCTACAATTGCAAATATATAACGTTTTAAATAACGGCCGGTTTATTTACAAGCTTCGCTTTATATTTTCTTCAAAATATAACAATATTTTCTTCAAAATATAATATAAAATAAGCATATTCATCACAGATTACAGCCGGTCGAGCGAGAAGAAAATAAGAAAATTATAACGACGCATACGTCATGTAAAGATTATATAACCAACGTAAACAAACATTGTTATGCGCAGTATATATGCTCAGAACGGACTTTACATCATCTTTAAAGTTTGGTCAATTACCCACACAGCTAGAGGAAGTTGATCAATTATTCAACAAATGAATTGATCAATTCTTTGTAAACATTGATTGATTGATTTATGCAATATTTTATCAAAACTTCCATTTCAATGACAGTAAACAAGATGAAAATAGACAGTGTATTTTTATGGGATTAAATTAAAGGTTAATTTTGTTGTCAATGATTAACCTCTGTTTCAATGTAATCTGGGTACTACAATAACCACAGCGCATGGCACCTATATTTACTCCTCCTGCTTGTTTGAAAATGTCACCTAATATGACTAGAATTAAGAAGATACCTATAGACTTGCTCAATAAAGTCATGTATCCATATCATTTGGATACTTTCTGTGGAGGAATGACTCAAATTCGTTCTTTGCCTTTTCATCCCCCTTGCTTAGAGGATCGATATATTTATCAGCTACTGCTTCTCCTTCCTTTATTTTCTTATCTCCCCACGGATACTTCATGACTTTCGTTCTGTCCAAGTCTTCAAACCAGTTTTCTCGTATAGCAAACTGGGCTATCATCAATTGATCGTAAAGAGACTCCGGTGTGCGATGTTTTCTAGTCCGGTGAATGTCAAACGCCTCCCTATCCGTATAAAGTTTCTTGTTCATCTCCAATATATTTGACGAGCAAGACATCATCTCAAGTACAGTAAACGATGTTTGCGCTAGCATACATTTTTACAGGACGAACCAGGTGTTCCTCCACCCATTCATCTCCCGCTAGCTGTTTACCCACTCTTCCGTCAACATTGACCGTTCTGTTTTGTCTGTACATCATTCTGTAGGCAAGTGGCCATTTCCGCGAATAATTGACGATGTGTGAAAAACTTTCATCTCTGTAATTGAACTTTCCTGCTTGTGCGTAGATAGCGGGGCAAATCATCCAAACCGCCTCCACTGCTTTTCCATTGCCATGTCGTATCGACTCTTTGTACCATCTACGAATTGGCAAAATATCATTAGCAAGCTTAATGTGGTAATTTGCCATTTTATCATTTCCAATTATGCCCAACCAATCATACAACTTTTTCAGGAGAATTGCATTATGAGACCTATTCACCGATAACAATGGTCAAGCTCTTCTTGTGTAGGAAAAATCTGTGATTCTTGAAAAGATTTCAACATCGCAATTGAAATTCCATCTTCATAGTCCGCAATTGCCTCTTCGTTGTTGTTATAGTTATTTTCTTTGAATTTATTTTTGAATGATTTAGGGTTTACAGTGGGACGTTTAAGGATTTTCTCAACCACGTGCCAGAAACCTCCTTGTCCTGCAAATCTTGCTAGGCATTCATTAACATAACCTCGGTTATGAAAGTCACCAGCTCCGGGTGTATGACAACCATATTGATCTGGACATCGATTTGCGCAACCTTGAATCGTGACAGTGTTTTTCTGGTCTCCTACGTTAATGTTCAAAATGCGAGCGTAGTCAGTGGCACTAGTAGGTGATGAGCCCTCTGAGATCTCCGTCCTATCGTAACTTTCTTTTTCTGTTCGAGACTGGAATTGCTGTTGCTTAAAAATTTGAAAAAATTCCGATGCAACAAAATCTGTGACATTCTTCTCGTATGATTGTCGCATTTCAATCATACTAACAATTACTTCTATTTTCTTTAATTTGGCGATCTCTAGAGGCGAAGCAGTCTCTTTGAAGAAGTCTTCCGATACATTGGAACCGATCTCCACCAGGAATTTGGCAGTGTTAATTTGGTCTTTGTGAATCGCCAGAGTCAAAGGAGTTTGATGAATCCCGTCTTTTGGGTTGACATGAGCGCCTGCTAGAACAAGGCAACGAACAAGCTTAGTGTTTCCATTCATTGCGGCTAAATGCAAAACTGTTCTTGCATACTGATCTCTTGCAGGTTGCCACTCTTCTTGTTTCTCTTTTAAAATCGCTATTAAAGCCGAGTCAGTTGATGTGCATGACGCTAATTCTTGCATAAAAATTTGACCCGTTCGAGAATCCAAAGTTTCATTTACCGATTGTAAACCAACGTTCGCAACCAATTCAGCCCATGAAACATTTTGTAACTGTGTCGCATTTGCGTCTTCCAGATTGCTCATGATTTAGCCTCCTCCGCAGGCATCACCTTTAAATTGGTAGGCGGCCAAAAAATATTTTAGATTAAGCTAAGTTTACACTGTATACAATTAACCACTCTTCTATAGAAGTTCAGTAATGCGTTCATAACAACACCTATTTCATTAAGTGCAAAAAGCACTTCCTAATTTGCCGTTATAACTAGCCGAAAAATTAACAGAACATGCCGAATGAAGTGCACGACATGATGTATATAAATAGGTTTAGTTTTTTATAAACGGTACGATCTCCATTTTATGGGATCGACTAAAAAATCAGATTTTTTGCGTGCCTATGCATGCTGTCTCGCAATCAAACTCTGATTTTGCGCTGTCGATATTTTTTGAGACGGCTGTCGCCTATCCATAAGTTTCGGAAACAGCCATATTGTTAATATAATGCTCAAGCCACCCATGTTGATTATAAACAAGTGATAATATATTTCAACTTATTGAAAAAATACGATGGTATTACAGTTACACTAAAATTAATACCAATTTTGAAATCACACTATTTACATATAAAATAATTAAAATACAAAGGTATGATTAAGAAAATATGTCAACTAATGACATATATACCGCAAATAAAATCTCGCTTTTTGTAATATAATGCCTAAATATTATGTCTAATTTAAGAGTATAAAAATAACCACATGTATAAGTATCGAATTTGCTACATTTACATGTAACGATTATACGCCCCAATTTACAGCCAAATGAGCCAATTCAATTAAGGTGTCCTTGCAAAAACGTAAAATGTAAACTATGAACACACAAAGTTTGATGTGTTATTGCTAATTTACACCTTTCAACTAGAAAACGTACAAAGGTAAACCTACTTTGCAACAAACTTAAGGCAATCCCTGAGTATCAGCTCCAAAACAAACATTAACCTGTCTGCCTTTAGCGCTCATAGTTTACAGTTCACGTACTAAAACTTGCGAAATATTAAAGACTTTTGCTTTGCGAAATATAAAACGTGTAAATGGAAAGCAACCTTAACGTGGGTGTCATGCGAAGGCCCAACAGCGTTATCATATCATAGAGATTATAAATAATAACACGTTATTTATAATCTCTATGATCCACATGATATCGCGCCATCAACCTTTTTTAGGGGCTGATTACATGAGCCCTCTTACCCGAGATTCAACGAAGCATGAGATGACTTTGAGGTATTGAAATAAGTCTTTATGATACCAAACAAGCACATGCTATTGTTGTGGTGATTATACGACTGCCAGGATCATGTTATCTGCTCATTTCAATACCTCAAAATCATCTCACGCTTCGTTGAATCTCGGGTAACCGGGCTCATGTAAACAGCCCCTTAATAACCTAAACTTCTTAACCGATACAAATTACGGGACCTGGATTTACAACAACGGTATATAAATAATGGATAGAATGTTTCCAAATGTGTCAAAATATGTTATAATAAGCCATAGCTTAGTCTGAAAAGTTGTCACTATCACTGTCACTATCTAAAACTCCAATAATTGAATTATCAAGCACTTGGACATTGTCTTTATCAGCAGATTCACCACCTCTTTTCCTTAAAATATTTTCATATCTCGTTGTTTGTCCTTATGTTTATCCAAAGATTTAAGAAAGGCATATCTTTCATACGCGGCCTCCAGATTAAAATTGGCTGCGTTTTGTCTCATTGGAATATACTTTTCGGCGGGTTTGCAAGGAAAGTTGAACTCTTCACTGAAAAGTGAGAGATTATTTGCTGTTCCCATAGTTGTGCATTGGTTCTCAAACGACAGCGGCAGGGGATAAACTTGCGACTTTTGACATGCTAGTTCCGGGAACTCTTGTTTTAATGGCGGTACATCTATGACAAATTCTTTTGTCTCATCATCAGCATCGTTTTCTGCAATCATTCTTATATCTGTCGATGTCTTATTCTTAAGTTCATCAATTCTGCACGGAACTAAATTGAACGCCACATCCATCTTACGAAGAAGATTGCGTTCCTTGAACTCCTCCCAAATCTGCTTGTGTTCAGGATTATTATCTGAAACAGGAATCGTTGAAGGAAAAACACAATTAGTGCTACATTGCACATTAATTAATCGTACACTTGTACACTCAAACGTTATTCATTTCAGTGTACTCACCAAACTACATTAGCAGCTTGCATTCATTCATCCAAATAATATACGTTTAAGTTTTCAAGCCAATGATGTTCCACCTTAATTTGGGTTTGCTCTTAATAAAGTATAATAACAAGCTTACCAAGTTTAGTGTCTTCATATTTCATGGTGGACACTTCACCCTGTGGTTCCACAGCAGTATTGGGATCCTTGAAATAGTTCTCTATTCCATTTGTGTCGGCAGCTCGCCAACCACGAACAGTGAAATCCCATATCTTCTCTTGTTTCAACTTCTCCTTGTGCAATTTCGAAAGCCTAAGATGTCTCAGCGATGTCCTCATAATTTGCATATTGTCCTGGTATGTTATGACAGGATGGTTAGAAGCAACTCTGCTTGAGATGATGGTCTTGTAATGCTCAAGCTGATTACGTAGCACCGATATTCTAGAAACATTTCAAAAAAATAATTTGTTATTGTTTTAAAGCATTACATGTAAATTGAATTGTTCTGTTTTATACATTTCCTAAATTGTCCACATAAGCGCAAAATAGGTTTAATCAGATGTCTCACACTCTTCCTGCATAAAAACCGATTACACTTGTTTAGAGAAATGGAAACGAATTACATGGCTGACATGTCTTTTACACATTGCTTACCCCTTTACAGTGCGATAAGCACCATTGCAGGGTATTTTATTTTACTTTAGCTGACGTCAGTACTAACTTTAACTCAGAGTAACATCACAATCATCTTATTCGCCTGAGTACAGAGTACATTGCACTACTATAATATACAACATAAAAACGTTCCTTTAACCAGTACTTTTAGTTTGCTTAATTCTGGCTTCTTTTTTTCTTTCGTAGTAGGCAAAAAAAGTATTTATTATATACAATATATTATACACTTACAAAACAGGGTGTGATTCTGATAAGCCCAAATGCTGCAGTACTGTAATTAGGGATGGTCCAGCACCAAAACTCAAACACAACAATCCAAACAGAATGGGAATATCATTTCGTGCGTTCTGATCGCGTACATCAAGAATTGAGGCCAATAAATGAATCGCCGCTTTCATCTTCATATTTGGAGTCTTCTTTGTGGAACGGACTGCATTACTTGAAAGTACTAGTTGCTCCAATATGTTGACTAGCACAGGGCACTGGGATTTAACTTGAACAAGCAAATTTTGAAAAAGGGAAGGATCAAGAAATTGTATTAGGTCTTTTGCCTTCTCTTTACCCCTTATCCCCAAATCAAAAATATGCTTTACTGTCTTAATCTCTGACTGAATACACTGTCTCTCTGATATGGACAACATGCCACCAATCAGATTTCCCTGTTCTAATAAATCTTTATACAGTGTAATTACATTATCCTGCTCCTTTACAATTGATGTAACTTTTTCTTTATATGTGGAAAACATAGATTCCAAGGAATAAAGACGTTCTTGCAATTCTGATTTGTCAGCATCCAAGTGCTCTATTCTCTCATTTAATGTGGCTACAAAATGTTTTGTATTTGTTAAGGCATCTTGGAGCTTGAGAAACTGCTCTTTTAACATTGCCTGGTTAGATGGTAATTCTATGATGAAAAAATATTAAAATATAGCAAATTCTGTAAAATTTGGGTTGTTCCAATAACAGCAGACATCTGCATCCCGCCTAAAACATCTGGTATAATAATAATAAGAATAATAATTTATTTCTAGCTTATCTATACGTCTGGATCCAAACTATTTTAAATATACAAAAAACTCAGTGTATACCGGTATTACTACAATATTAACATGTATCTTCACAATTACAATACATGTCAGACAACCAAAATATAAGTTGCATAACCACATCAAACATTTACCTGCCTCTTCTTGAATATTTAATGCTCCCAACATGCTTGGCAAATATTGTTCAGAATATGATGCTTCTGGTTCTATTAAAGTAATGGCAATAATTTATATTTATGTAATTACATGAACCTAAATAAATGTATTTATTTTAATCATTAGTGTTTATGTTTAATTTACTACCATTAATTGAAAACAGTTTGATACTTATAGTAATTAAATTAAAACAACTTTTTACCACTCACCATCTGTTTTGTGAATAATCTTGTTCTCACATGTTCTGATTGTACAAAAGAGTCTAAAAAAGATATTTAATTGTTAGTAAATATGTTCAAATTACTCTAAATTATGAATATGTAGCCAAATGTAAATCTGCATGACATCTTTCAACATAATAACTGCACATGGACTCATTCGTTATAGACCATGACCTTCATTCAATTCTAACATGTCACATGAGCAAATGTAAGTTTATTAGTATCTACTTTATTTTTGAAAACCTTGAAAAAACAAAACAGACCTTTTCTTGATTTCTGACATGGTGGAGAGCTTACAGATGGGCTTGTTGGTCCAGTTGGCCCATTCACTAGCCTGTAGTTTTTATACAATGCCCTATTATATAAAGACAATAATAATTGAGAGGGATCTAATAAAGAGGAGGGCTTAACAGAGAGAGGGGGGGGGGCTTATTTTTTACATGTCTATTTGCCAAGGTTGATTATTTTACCTACCATAAATGCACACACAGAATTTTAGAACTTTAATCAGGGAGCAGTAAAATAGTAAACATACATTTAGCTTAAAGGATAGATAGGGTTAACATAGCAGGACTTTTGCATTTTTATGTTTCTTTGTCAATGCCTTAAAGACCACGAATAAAATATTACGATATAATTACTTATTCTTTATAAAAAAACAGGAAGTATTAAAAACAAAATGAGTCTATGTATATCTTACAATTTCCTTCCTTTCCCTCTAATTCGACTGTGGTGCCCAGTATCTTGCTTATCTCTTTCAGGAGTTGTGAACGATTTGTTGTTTTTGCAGGATGATAATGAAGGCGCAAACTATGCAAAAGATCGTCAACTAAAACCTCCTGACCCGTTTCTTTTACTAGTATTTTGTCCAAACTGTCTTTGAGGGTTGCTTGATACTTTAAATAAGCCAGTCTCACTATAAAATTAAAAATTTAGATGTTATATTACGTGACACGATTTTTAGGTTCACGGAAACCAGGTATATAATCCATCGTAATTATCGCTACTCTGGTTTTTAATAAATGAAAGCAATCTTTGTGTGGTGATTGCTTACATTTATTAGCGATAATTACGATGGAGTTCATAATTATGAAATACAACTGTATATTTTGTTATAAAATATAGTATGATTTTACTATAAATACCTTTTCGCTTGGTACCTCCAGGAGTACAGATCGTACTTCTCACTTGACTTCCAACGAATTCGCTTGGTGAAGCATTATTATCTCTTTGCCCTGCTTGTGCGGATCGGTTTGAACACGTTGTTGACAGCCCCGATGTATCATGTTCTTTTGGGTCTTCTCGAATATTCGAATCCCGCAAGGAATCCTTAAGATTCTCGATTTTTCGCTCCTTGACCTCTATCTCTACGCGCTTTGTTTTGATTTCTTTTAATACGTTTAAATAACCCGCGCTTAAAACTGGTGGTGTTGTTCTGACATACCTAGGTATTTTCGATTGACGCTCCTTCGGCTTTTCCGCCATCTTTACTGTTTTTATGAATCCCGTGGGAGTAGGGGTAACATAGCCGGTCCACACAGTTACACAGCTGGTCCATTAGCTTCCGGTTTTGGCAGGCATCACCGCTAAAATATTTTTTGGCCGCCTGCCAATTTAAAGGTGATGCCTGCGGAGGAGGCTATATATATCCATGGCATAGAAGCAGTGTGTAGCAAGCAGGGTGGGGCAGTGGAAGCGTGCGGGCCATAAACCATACCCTGTTTGCCCCTCTAGCTTGAAAGAGAACGGTCTTAACAACAATTTGCCAATGGTCTATAGTTAATGATTATGCTGTATTTTCTTTTGAAAAAAAAGTTATACGTGTTCCCGTTCCATGCAACATTAGATGCACTCTCTCAACTTAATTTAAGTATCAACCTTATAAAAATATAGTGAGCTTGGATTTTGCATCAATGTAATCATATGAACGGTGTCCACACTTGTTTTTTACACGTGCCTCATTAGCTCAGTTTAGAGCACTGGGGCCGGTTGTATCAAGCCCGTTTAGCTTTAACGGTGGATAAGTCAAAATTAAATCTCTTATTAAACACTCCTACATCTCTTTTGAATGAGTCAACTTGAATATTATGCACTTAATATTTGGTTGTAAACAGTATCATTGTTATAAGGTTAAAAACATTTAGTTTGCTTGTTCAATGAAACGATTGATTTGCTTTCTATTTTGAACCTAACCAACGTTTAAGCTAAACGAGCTTGATACAACCGGCCCCTGGTCTCGTAAACCAGGGGTCCGGAGTTCGAATCTCTGACGAGCCCTTCACATTTTCCACTTAAACTCAATAATATGAACGACTTTTGTGATTGACTTTTTGTAACAATAGTGAACTGCAATGTTTATGATTCGTTCTTTCAGAAATCAATTCCTATAATACTTGCTTGTGTTTTATTGTATTTTTTTTTATCATTGCCAATCAACTGGCAATTATGTAGTCGTGGCTGAGTGGTTAAGGCGACAGGCTCGAAATCAGTTGGATATTCCCGCGCAGGTTCAAATCCTGCCGACTACGAGTCCTGTTATCTCGAAAGATTTCATAACACGGAAAAATTTTTTTGCCAGCGGGTGGAATTTCGTCTTATACCATACGATATATTTTTGGCATTTTTTAGGGAAAGACAATCAGAGTAGTCAAAATTTTTAAAACTTGGTGTAAAATGGTAAATACTGTACCCTTTTAACCGAAGTAGTCAAATTTACGCATTCTGATTCGCTTACTAAAAATGTAAAGAAACATGCTGTTTGGTCTAGAGCGAAATTGCCTCTTCTTATAAGGAACTCTATTCAGAAATTATTTCTCCTTTATATGCTCGCTTTTAAGAGTATAATATTAGGCTGTTTGCCGCACGAGTCAACGGAACTTTAATTTTTCATTTACCGTTATGCCGGAATTTTTATAAATTACCGTAAGCTACTGCACTTTTTCCGTCTTGAGTGCAGGACACGGATTCGATTCCCGTGCAAGCCCTGATTGCCCTCCCAACTTGAAATTTTTCAAAGATCGAGTTTCCTTCTTCAAAACAAAAAGCAGTGTTGATCTCCCCATAAAACGTTGATCCCATGCAGTGTCAATCCACATAGAAAAATACAACGAGGAGATATACTATGCATGCACAAATGTATTCATAGTAAAGAAATGTCATCCATGAAGACGTTGTCATTCATTTTACAAGAACTTAACATCGGAAAATATGCAGAATTAACTTGGAAGGGATAACTATTTTTTGACGATGATTCGTTTTTACAATTGTAAAAGCGTCATGTGTATGCCTTATTGTCTGAATGGTTAGAGCACTGGTATCGTAAACCAGAGGTCCGGTGTTCAACTCTCTAATAAGATTTCCCCCGTTCTTACCTTATTCGGAATAGCGCCAATGAAAAGAAAATATCTATCTGCGTATATATTCATAGCACCAGGGCAGTGTGTAGCACGCAGCTAGGGTATAAATATAAATATTATTTTTAAAAATATTACGAAAAACTTTTAATGCGAAGCAACGGTTTTCTGAAGAATGATTTGAGATCCAAAGATCTAATCCCCCAGTTGCTGCCTTTCCTTACATCTTTTCGAGCAATCGGTGAACGATAGATCACTCTTTACGAAATTAAAAATATAATTTCTGAGTTTGATTCGTGTAGCATGGGACCTAATTTGAAAATATGTTTCTTACAGCGGAGTAACATGATTGCCGAAATTGACCGCTATATGTGGCGTTGCGCTGGTGGTTCAGTGGTAGAATTCTCGCCTGCCACGCGGGAGACCGGGGTTCGATTCCCCGCTAGCGCATAAAATTCCCCTCGGATGCATTGTCCTGATCAATAACACCCATCATGTGGTTTCTTTTTCACACTTACTGTGGCGTAGCAAAATTATCAGAAGAAAAGGGTAATTTTGAAAAAAACGACACTGTTACATAAGGCATAGCAAGTTCCCATGTGGTCTAGTGGCTAGGATCTGGCGTTTTCACCGCCATGGCCCGGGTTCGATTCCCGGCGTGGGAAATCCGTTTTCATAATTATCCGGCAAAAAGAGCCGTCTACGGCAATACATTTAACACCTGAATGAATATTATTGCAGGACACGAACACTAACAAGAATATGAAGAATCGCGTTTCATCGAGTTTGTTAAAAAGGAAATTGATATTTTGAAGGAATAAAGTTGAGTTGCGTTTTCGAGAATTTAATGTGTTTTTAATTCATTACATATGGAAAAAATATAGAGGATGCGGGCATCGATCCCGCTACCTCGCGCATGCAAAGCGCGCGCTCTCTTATTTGATCTACTCCCTCACAACCGCCCTAACGCATTTAAATCCATTTTTACAATGACACATATCTTTTTTTGTTTTTTTTTACATTGGATTTCCCAAACAAACTATTTGTTAAAACCGCAAAATGAAAGCGTTATTTTCAATATTTTGCAGACATACCAAGCTAACAAGCAAAATATTTCAAATTAGTTCCTGCCGAAACCCGGGATTGAACCAGGGACCTTCAGATCTTCAGTCTGACGCTCCCCACCTGAGC